GCCCCATGCCCTCACCCACCCATAACCTGGTCTCTTTTCCCTTCGATCAGCTCCCCCGTAAACGTCTTGCCGTAAAGCTGCCTCCCCATCCTATACCCAAGTAAACTTTCAGACAAAGTATGTGAGGCGGGCGCGGGCGATGCGGATTTTTAGGGAGGGGAGGGGTGACGACAGTCTTATGTGGTGGCGTGTGGAAAAATGCGCTGTGTGAGAGGGTAAGGGGTAGGCGAGGACTCGCACAGGTAGAGGCGGAGCTGGGCGAGCAGGGGAGTTGAATCACCAGCAGACGCGTGGGTGGGATGAGAAGGTTGGCAGTGCCTGCCTCATCAGCATTACGCGAGGGTGGTGCACGTGTCCTGCACGTGCATACTCAAGGCACAACCTGCAACTTGATGACGGTAGCCAGAGAGGGAAAGAAAACTCAACCGCTCTACACCAGTCGGGTCTTGGATTAAAGCCATTTGATTTTAATCTCGGAAAAAAAGTTTAGCTAAACCGACTAGTATGTTCGGTGCATAGGCAACGAACATGTTAGCTATTTGAACTAACGCGTGTGATTATGCCTACTACTAAAGTACCTTAGCTGGATCAACCAATGGGCATTAAGGAAAATAATTAAAAACAGTAATATCTGCCTTTCAGACTACAGCAGCTTGTTATCTTGGCGGTACGGAAGCCTTTGTTCCAAATCCACGCTGACTGTGGTGGGTGTTGAACCCTCGCGCGTTGGGATGTCAGGCGAGCTCGGAGGCTCTAAGCTACGCCAGCGCGTTGACGGAAGGGAGACACGGAACCAGTGTGATGCCGAAGTCACCTTGTTTTTACGCTTAAGTCAATGTCTACGCTTGTGTCAACCAAGTGTTTGATAACTCAACTATTATAGTTTTATAGGAGACCCGTGAGCAGTTACATTGACTGCAAGACATTGAGTGCAAACTAAGTAAACAAAAACAGATTCGCTAGGTAAGTGTAATTAGCTATCAAGGAGGACAACGGATCTTATTTCTCGCAACTTACATTTCCTAGCATTTTCTTTAACTCATCAACCATTTTAGATGAAAGCATTCTTGATCTTTCCCAAACTCGGTATATTCGCTTATCGGTAGGTGAGAATGCTGATCACATTTTTTCGTGCCCTTCATTTTTCAAAATTCCAATAGGATCACTATTTCAAAAAAAGAAAATATCTCAAGACTCAACAAATTTTTGTGAAATTTTGACAGAAATTCACAAAGTCACATTGTGAATTGAAAGGAAAAAAATAGAAGATTGTTTGTGATCCATTAGAACTTAAAGGGGCAGACCTGTAAAATGGTGAAGTGCACAGGTTCGGAAATTTTAAAAAAAAAAAAAATCTGACGTGGAGCCGAATTTAACTGAATGTCTGGTCCCAACTTAAACTTCTAATTGGATGAGGAACTACACCTTCAAACAGCTCATTAGGTGTAAGACTATTACCCCGTTGGAGGTGTTGGAGGTCTACTGGCAGCACTACTATAAAAAGATTTTTTGCGTACTAGCAGGCTGAAGGACCAACCTAAGTGCCAAGGGGGTTTGGGCAAATACACCGGTGATATTGTAGCTGAAAGTAGTATCCAAACAAGCTAGGCCCGCTCTTCCGCCAAACCA